GTGTAATAATAACCAGTTGTGCCTGGGCATACCTTCTTACACCCATTAAAATCTGTAAAACATTCAATTTTTCCTAACAAAAAATGTGACATGATGCCCAGGTGTGGCTGGGCACCCCCAGCTTGTCGTGCATAAAATTGATGCGATTCTTGAACGCCAAATTTTCTTGCAATTTTTTTCTCTCAAATCATTCGTCAATCAACCTCTAAGAACTGAATTCGAATTTTTTATTATTATTTCATCATTATCATCATGACATTTACTTAAAAAGCAAAATGACAACTTTTAGATTATGGTCACACGAAAGTAAAAGCTCTAGATTTGCCTAAAATACCCTTTTATCGGATGTCATTCTTTTAGTTTTCCATACAAGAGAAGATTTGAATTAAATACAGCTGTATTTCCTCCAAGAAATGATGAGTTTAAATTCAATTTTTTTGAAATTATAATTTGAGATTTAGAATGAAATTGTATCGTTTGTCAAACACCTCATTTTTTTGTCATCTTTTGCTATTCAATATCCACATTTAAATTGAAAATCATGCCTTGGATTTGTGAATAATTTTCATAGAATTTCTGTAAATTCGAAAATTTTCTGAGAATTATTTTACCATCACAGCATTGACTATAACAAAGGAGCAACATTTTAACGGTAAGACAATGGGTTAGGAGAGTAAGTTTCAGTGTTGCCAGCAAAAAAAAAAAAAAAAAAACTCTCACATCTGGTTTCATTTTTAAAGCATACTCCAGAGGATTCAAAATAAATTCGGTATTTTTTTTCTCGCGATCGGAAAAATTTGTGGAAAAACCTTTCATCGATATCAGTGCAGAGATGAAAGAATTCGGTTGGATGAAAAAATAAATAAATAAAAATAAAAGGGAAGCGGAGATGATTGATTGAGTGGGTCGACTCTTATAAGCGTAATTCGGACCCATTGAAAGCTTTTGGTCACATATGGAGGCCAAGAAATGTTGCCCTCACATACTACGTGTGCTGTGTGGAAGGAAAGAAGCTCTGGGTGGATTCTTGGATGATTTAATGCTTTCTACTTGGAGCAATGACTCCTGAACTATTTCCGAATTTTTTATTTATTTTCCTCTTCATCAACCTGGAAGCTGGTTAATTCCTCGCATTCCGAAATAGTTTGGAATTTTTTTCGGAAAGCCTGAATTTTTTCTTTGAGAGAAGAAAACTGCTGTGTTCATTCGAAAGAAAAAAAAAATTGAGGAACAGTTTTGATTTCTTGTGTGAATTTCCGTCAACATGTGGAGACTCGAATTTGAAAATTGTTGCTCCACAACAAAGAGAAGCTGGATTATTTAAAATTATCAACACGAAATTCTTTTCTGGGACAAATTCATTAAAATTTATTGTGTGCAGTATTTTTTATGTCGACTGCGGTTATTTTTCTTTGCATGCCGAAATATTTTTTAATTTTTTGGAAAAACCTGGATTTTCTGTGAGAGAAGAAAACTGCTGTGTTCATTCAAAAAAAAAACAGAGGAACAGTTTATTCTAATTTATTTCTATAGAACAGTTATTTTTAATTTTACCAAGAATACCGTATTATTCTCTCTGGTGTACAAGGTTTTTTTTTTGTATGGGTGGATTCTTGGATGATTTAATGCTTTCTACTTGGAGCAATGACTCCTGAACTATTTCCGAATTTTTTATTTATTTTCCTCTTCATCAACCTGGAAGCTGGTTAATTCCTCGCATTCCGAAATACTGTAGTTTGGAATTTTTTTTGGGAAAGCCTAAATTTTTTCTTTGAGAGAAGAAAGCTGCTGTGTTCATTCGAAAGAAGAAAAAAAAATTGGGGAACAGTTTTGATTTCTTGTGTGAATTTCCGTCAACATGTGGAGACTCGAATTTAAAAAGCGTTGCTCCACAACAAAGAGAAGCTGGATTATTTAAAATTATCAACAGGAAATTCTTTTCTGGGACAAATTCATTAAAATTTATTGTGTGCAGTATTTTTTATGTCGACTGCGGTTATTTTTCTTTGCATGCCGAAATATTTTTTAATTTTTTGGAAAAACCTGGATTTTCTTTGAGAGAATAAAACTGCTGTGTTCATTCAAAAACAGAGGAACAGTTTATTCTGATTTATAATTTATTTCTAGGGAACAGTTATTTTTAATTTTACCAAGAATACCGTATTATTCTCTCTGGTACAAGGTTTTTTTTTTTTTGTTGAGCCTGTGCCCCTCTCGTGACGTCTTGTCCTAAATGACAACCGGAAACAGGAAGTAATCATGCCATGTCCTAAAAAAGAAAAAGGAAAAAAAAAGAGTCCGGAAAAGAGTGAGGATACCATCGTCATCATCAGCATCTCTGAGATATCCTTCATCGCTCGCTCCATAGATATTTTGAAGAAGAAGAAGAATAAAGGTAATGTTCGATGAGAAGGAGCCCCTCTTTTTCCTCTCTCTCATTTTTTCTATGTGGATATTTTAAAGAAGAAGGTGACAATTTCCAGCTGAGTCATCCTGGTGCCCAGGGGTTGCCTTCTTTCTTTCTTTCTCTCTCTGCTTCTTCTTCTTTTGTCGCACGCGCGTCGCGTGATTTGGTTGCCCCTGGGACAGTGGACACGGGCCATCAAGGCGTGCATCGTTTCTTTGCGCCGACTTCAAAGAGATGCCGCCTCTTTCTTTCTTTCTCACTCACTCATCATATGACCCTGTCTGATGAATGGGGGGAGAGAAGCTGTTCTCGAGAAAAGAAAAAAAAGTGAGAGAGAGAGAAAAAAAATATGAAGAATTCGGCTTATTTTTTATTTTTCATTTTTTTAAAGATGTTGCTACAGTTTCATCAAGAATCTTGATGAATGAATGAATGAATGAATGAACGGAAACACTTTATTTGCCGCTTTTTCAGCGTTCACAAGGTTCAATCGAGAGATTTCCACATCCAAACCCAAATCAACTCAAAGACATTTAATCACTTCAGAGCAGGAAACAGAGCACAAATGGATGACAAAAATAAAAGAAAATACAATCCACAAAATACAACTGGACATCTGACATCTGAATCTTGTTAAAAACTACAGTTGAACCATGATCTTGAATTCCCCCTGTGTCAAAAATTTCCAAGTCCCTTTCTGAATTTTCCCAGAAACAATATGCTTTAAAATCATCCCCATTCAAAAGCTTTACCCCCCAATACCTCCCTAAATCAAAATTTTCTGGAGACCTTTTGGCTGAAATCTTATTGACACAGGAAAGGGAAGAAAGCAAGGAAATTGTAGCTTGGTGTGTTTTGAAAGGAAGTTGAAAACCTTGGTGGGGAAAATGAACCCTTGTCTCCCATGTTTTCTAGGCATCATGTCAACTCATTTTAGAAGCAATGTAAGGCTCAAAATATCAAAAAAAAATTTTAAAGTTCCATCAATCCCCTTTCCAAATACTTGTTTCTGAGCCTCAAAGACTCTCTAACTCAAAAATGTTTGCTGGTCCCTTAAAGTTTGAATGTGATTCTTGGTTAATGCCTCAAACAATTCTTTTTTAGCAGAATAGGGTTCCCAAACATAAATGAACTCAGTGACTCAGTATTTTTGTATTATCATTTTAATCCTGGATAAAATACAATACTGCAATAAAAATCGAAATTTCTGCTACTGGAAAAAAACTTCTGAACTTTTCCACCCAATGCATCCCTAAATCAAATATTTTCTGGAGGCCTTTTGGCTAAAATTTTATTGACACAGGAAAGGGAAAAGCAAGGAAATTGTAGCTTGGTGTGTTTTGAAAGGAAGTTGAAAACCTTATTGAGAAAATGAACCCTTGCCTCCGATATGTTCTAGGTATCATGTCAACTCAATTTTGAAACAATGTAAGGCCCAGAATATCACAAATTGAAATTCCCATCAACCCCCCCCCCCCTCTCCTCTCCAAATAATTGCCTCTGAGCATCAAATACTCTTCAACTCAAAAATTTGTCCTGGTCCTTTGAAGTTTGACTTGAAGTTTTTGGTTAATAATTCAAGCCATTCTTTTTAGCAGAATATGGTTCCCAAACATGAATGAAATCAGTGACTCAGTATGTTTTTATTTTCATTTTATTCCAGTATAAAATACTGCAATAAAAAATTGAAATTTCTGCTGCTGGAAAAAACTTCTGAAATATGTACAGCGTTTATTGAATTTTTTTCTTACTGTGATTCACAAAAGTAGGTTTTCTGGCCTGGAGTTGAAACGGTTGATGTGAAAGATATCTGGGTTTCAAAAGTCACCTGCCCATTGTTCAAAGTTTGATGGGCAATGAGTATAGGGCTTGTCTTGTTCTGTGTCAAGGGACCTGCGACGAATCAATCAATTACCCGTATCTCTTGTATATGCCTCCATGATTCGAGTCCAACTTTCAGATTATTTGATGGTATGTGTAGAACGAATGATGCAACGTTATATATGCTCGGAAACGTTTCTGGATGTTTTTGTCCCTACCTTGGGTCCTTTTTTTTGTGAGTGTGTGTGGAAGTTGGTGGAAATTACAGTGAGACCCCAAGATGCGGACGTAATTGGTGCATCTAGACTAGAGTGTCCCTAAGACAAAATGTGCCCCAGTGTATTCATTGTAACGGGATTTTATTGTATTTGAACTCAAATTTTTCGTGGATTGATATTTTTTGGCTTGATTTGTTTCATGGGGGTTTTTCGGGTTGTACTTGCCGCTTAAAATCGGATACTTTTCAATAACTTGTGATTTTCTGAAAAATGGTTTTGGAAATATTATTTCAATAATTTTTTGTTATTTTTATTTCCGTTTTTCTTGTAGGGAAATATTTTTTTTAATGAAATCGAAGAGGTTCTGAGACTTGCATACGGAACCTTTTTTTTTCTACTAATTCCTGGGTTGATGTTTATTTATTTTTAATTTTTTTTTTCATTTCGCAGGACCTGATGTTCCAGATAGTTTGCGGAGTGGACTTTTTGCACTGCAACCGGATTTTGCACAGAGATTTGAAGCCGCAAAACATCCTGGTGACCACGGACGGCGTGGTGAAGATTGCGGACTTTGGAATGGCGCGTTTGTACGCCGTCGGCATGGTCTTGTCGTCCGTCGTGGTGACGCAATGGTACCGAGCACCAGAGGTGCTCCTGTGCTCCAATTACGCCACCCCCGTGGACCTGTGGTCCATCGGATGCATTTTTGCCGAGTTGGTGCGAAGGGAGCCACTGTTCAACGGCGCCACGGACGCTGATCAGCTCCACAAGATCTTCGAGTACGCAGAAGATATATTAATATATTTTTTTTAATTTTCAGTAAATTTTGGCAGGTTTGTTTTAAATTTTACGACTCGCGACGAGGGAATCGTCAGTCGAATTCTGCTTGTGACGAGAAAAAAAAAGGAGCAGCGTGGTTCTAGTTCATAATCTTTTTTTTTTCTTTTGAAGAATCCGCAGTCAAGTTTTATTGTAATAAAACTAATAATATATTTATAATAATATAATAAATACTGTATGAAACAGTATTATATACTGTATATGATATATTTTAATGAAATCGAAATTAAGTTTTCAGACAATCTCCCGAATTTTTTTCATTAATTTTTTTCTGGCCAGCTTCACAAGATCTTCGAGAACACACATATTTTTTGTTTTATTTTCAAAGAATTTCGAGAGTTTTGGCTTCTTTTTTGTTTTGTTTTGGAATCTCACGACTCGTGAGGAAATCGGCAGTCAAAGCTTGAAAAACTGAAAAAAGCGTGATTTCCGTTCGTTTTTGAGTTTTGAATATTTTTTGAATGATCCGCGATCAAGTTTTACCTGTAGAATAAAATCTAGACGATGAAGTTTTTAGACAATCTTCCGAACTTTTCTCTCGATTCCTTTTGACCGTCTTTTCAGAAGATCTTCGAGTATGCACGTAATTTTCAGTAAATTTCAGCACTAGTTTTTGGCTTATTTTTGTTTTGAAATTTAACGAGTCGTGAGGAAATCGTTGGTCAAGTTCTGCTTGGGAGAAAAAAAAAGAGGAGCGTGGTTTCAGTGCATTGTTTAGTTTCCCATATTTTTTTGTGTGAAGAATCTGCAATTCACGTCAACTGTCCAATAAAATCGGAATACTCTACAGTAAAATCTCGTTACAACGAACTGAACGAAGACATCGAGACCAGTGAAATAGCTTCTTTGTAAAAAAAAAAATCATTCCAAAGTAACCAATTTAAATTTGTGGCTATTGGGCGAGGACCTAAAAGTCGACTTCGTTGTAATCGATTATTCTTTATACCGAGATTCTATTTTAGTATTGTATATTCAAGTTTTCAGAAAACCTCCCGAATCTTTCTCTTCATTCTCACTGGTTGGATGCAGAAATTTAATTAATGATGAAGAAGAACTTTTTAGTTTTTTTTCGATTACATTTTCTTCCTTGGGTGAAAATAACCCATATAAAATGTATATTTAAAATCGAATGGAGACTAAGAACAATATTTTTCTGATGCAGTATTGTACTACAGTATATTTTTTTTGCTCCTTTATTGCATATTTATATTTTATTTATTGTTTTCAGCATCATGGGTTCGCCTCATCAGGACGAATGGCCACGCGGAGTGTCGGTGTCGTGGCAGCAATTCCGGGGCAGACCCGGGGTTCCCCTGAGCTCTCTATTACCCGAACTGGAACCCAGTGGCCAGGACCTGTTGCGACAAATGCTCACTTTCGTGCCCGAGAAACGCATCAGTGCGGTTCGTGCCCTGAGGCACTCGTACTTTGATGGACGCACGCCGCCATTGTCGGGACCCGTACCTGCAACCCTCACCTCGCCTGCTTCTGCGGCATCCGGCCCAGTACGGGTACGACTTCTGTTTTGTTTTGTTTTGTTCTTTTGAAATTTATGAGTTTAAATTTAAAAAAATGTTCATCTTTGATTTAGGATGCAGAAAATGATTTTGCAGAAGAAAATATGTAGAATTTTTCCTTTTGGCATGAAAAAAAGGTCCAAATGAGAAAAATCGCATTTAATTTTTATATATTTGACAAGAAAAAAATTATTGAAAAGGGAAGCGCGAAATTGGTACGTTTTTAAAAAGTTCCTTGGCACTTTCTCCATTTCTTCATGAGATACTCTATCAACATTTTGAAACAAGAAAATCAACTTCATGTTCTGCAGAAAACTTGTGGAGTGTCCATAATCCAAATTATCTGCATGTTGGCTTGTCCAAATGTTGGAGTAACATTGTGTTTGTGTTGTGTGCTCTTCTTGATTTCTTTGAGAATTAAAAAATTATTTAAAAAAATGTTCTTGTCTGACAATCTAAATTAAGTTTTGATGAAGTATGTATTGTTCTGCTATCAATGAGTAGTTTGATATTAAATTACAGTTTTTTATTTATTGAATTCAGTGTTTCGCAAACTTTTTGGACCTGAGGACCTGCAAAGTTTCATCCAAATTTTGCAGACTTTAAAAATTTTTGCTTGAAAGACTCTATGGCAGGTACTCTGAAAGTTTCTGCTTTTATTGCAAAAATTAATTTGTGCGCCAATGAAGCAGCTATAGTTTAGTGTCTTCAAAAAGTAGAAAGCTGGGCTTCAAGAAGAGTTTCTCAGATTGAAAAATTAAAATAATTTATTTTCAACAGGTGAAAATGTGTCAAGTGTTTTGAGGAGAAAAGCCAGTTTATATTTTTCGTCAGATAATTTCAAATGCCAATGTGTTTCTGAAATGTTTCATGAACATAACAGATTCCATTGCCACTTTTCCTAAATTAATTATGCTGAAAATGTCCTCTGGACCACAGGTTGGGAACACTGAATTTTAATTAAAGCGACATCTGTCTGTCTATTTTTGAACCATTTCTCCTCTCATGGACACTGAATTTATGCCCCCATTGGATTTTTTCTCTACAGCAGGAGCCGCCATCTAGCGTGGACGCCGTGTTGCGTGGAAGGAACCTGATGGCAAGCACCCCGATATCATCCTCTGACCGACAAGCCAGCAACAGCAACCCAGGGTTCCCGGAAACGCCCCAGAACCCGTCGGGTCGGGCCAAGCGGCATTCGGCTGGAACCCCATCCAACTCGCCCGAATCCTCGCTTTCCTGTTCTACCTCTGACGAGTCTGGTCAATCAATGGAGCAGTGAATTTTTGGAAAAGGAGAAAAGAAAAGAAGAGAAAAATTATATTAAAATGATGAAATAATGAAAAAAAAAAATCTGAAAATGTCCTCCTGTGGCGGGAATCCTCTCAGGATGATGATGATGTGTGTGCGTCGAAGTTTTTTGCGGGGTTTGAAAAAACGTTGCGAATTGATTCATTTCGATCGTTGCTCTCTTTTTTTTTTTTTTGATTGATTGATTGATGCTGTTGTTGTTGTTGTTTGACTTGTTGTTGTTGCTGTTGTACGAACTTGCTTTTGGGGGTGTTTCGTCGTTGTGCGGGGGATTTTCTGTTGTCGAAAATGTCCTTCGGGTACCATTTCTTGACACTTGAACTCTTTCTTGGATTTTATTCGGTTTAATATTCCGTTATTTATTTCTCCCTGGACAATCCATGCCTAGAAATATTTGCTCAAGAAGAGGGACGAATTATATCTTTCGGTTACGGGAAGTGAGTGAGATTTGAACGCAGTAGAAATTTACATCGCTAATTTTTTTTTTTAATAATATTGCTAATATTTATTTAATCGTCAAATGATAAATGTGTCCCCTTGAAAATAGGATATCCTCATAAAATTAACCCTTGTTCGAATTTCAGATAAAATTTCGCATGATGAAGTGTCTTAATGTACATGTTGTCACATTAAATTTTAAACTGGTGGAACAGCTGAAGAAAAACTGATATTTTTGGCAATATAGAAATTAGGCTTCTCTAGGAATTTAAGGCAGGAGAATTTCTTAATGATAAAAAAAAGATTCTAACCATAAACAGGGCGGACTCTGATTGTCAGAATATTCTTTTTTGAATGGGAAAAATTGTTCAATTCTGCTGTGATAATTTTTTATTCATTTCTATTTTGAAACTTAATCTGCTTAAGAATATTCTCATCCAGCGAAAAAAAAATTTCTTAAGGAATGAACCTCCGATTCTTGGAAAAAATCGACAATCTCGTGAATCTCAATATAATGATTTTGTTCTTGGTCCATACAAGTTTTTTTTTTACCTTGAGATGTAAACTTTAGTTTCGAAATTGAAATACTCGGTTTCAGGGAACAACCTTTTGAGACATCGATGATTTCAAAAATTACTTTTCAGGTTATGATTATGCTTTCTTCAATTATTTAACCTTGTAGTCTTTCTGTTGGATTTGGTACCCCAGAGAAAATTTTCGCCCGAAACTCACAATTCCCTTTGTGCCATTTTGCTCAATTTCATGCTTGTAAATAGTGAGACCAGCCTCTGTTTTTTTTTTTCATTTCGCGGAAATCCGGTCAAAAGATTCGAGTGCGTTTTTGCTACGGGTACGAAAAGAAAGACAAAGCTGCAAAAATACAGGTTGACATTTCTTTGCGACGAAAGAAAAAAAAAAACTATTTTTCCGACTCATCTCGCAAAATCAAATGCCTCGGGGACTCGTACTTACAATTTTAATTTCTTTTTTTTTTTGCACTCGTCGACTGTGGGGGCATTTTCTGCGAAAGGGGTGTTTTCTCTCAAACCATCTGTTGTGCCACTGCTCTTTTTTTTTGGCAATTAATGTTTTTTGTTGATTTGAAAAATTCCGAATGTGTTTTTTGCGTCCAAGAATGAAGAGGTTTTTTTTTGTAGAGGAAACCTCGTTTTTTTTTTTGGGCGACGATCTGTGATGAACGCGTGGCACAACTTTGTTTTGGTCCCATTTCCAAGCGGGGGATTTTTTTGTTTGAATAAATAAACGGGTTTTCAACTGCGTAATTTGTAATTGTAAAAAAAATCTTCTATTGGTGGGGTGAATTGAAAATCTGCTGTCTTCTAAAATTTCTTCGAGAGTTGAAAGTGAAATTTTCGGAATCTGCGTTCAGTTCGTCAAATTTGAAATATCCGATGTCGACGTTCTCCTTCATGAAATTTTTGAGTTTTTTTTGAATGAATGGGGGGAAATTTTCTGTTTTTGTTTTTTTTGAAGTTGTGTTCCGATTCGTCGTAATAATGGTTGAAATGTTCCGAAGGGACATTTTGTCTCTTCGGTACCCTTTTTTTTTCTTCGCGTGTGAAGTGTGGTATTTATTGCGTGGAAGCGAAACTGGTAATGTGCAGAAATGTTTTGCCGAAATTTGCTCAGTGCCTTTTTTGCGAACTCCGTGGCTCAATTCGATTTTTTTTTTGTGGTTTTGTTCAAAGGAATTCTCGATCAAATTTTGTGCTCAAGACTGTTCTTTTATGAAGTCTCAATTTTCGTCTTTGTTCCGAGTATTTGGCAGATCGACTTTTCGTTTTTGTTTTCATTGACTGGTGTCTTCCCATTGATGATGGGCAATGCTTCGGACCTTTTGTAAACACATGTGAAACCAGACACTCATTAGTATGAGAATGCCATGGATTTGGCTGGACTCGTTGGTGGCGAGTAAAACTGCGAAATGTTGAGACAATATTCGTCATTTTTGTCAATTCCTCATCAGTTATAATGAATTGGAAACCCACCGGTGTACACGGGTTGTCCTACGTGGGTGTGACTGGTTATGTCTAAAGTAATGATGACTGTAAAAATAATCTTGTCTGATTCTGTGATTTTTTCTTGATGAAAAAAAATTCCAATTTACTGCATGATCATTGGGGAAAACTTCCTGGTTATAGCCGAAGTTCTCCACTCATGTCACAGGGTGCAAACAAAAACCTTGTCAGGGGAGCTTGAAATTTCTTTGTTATTCTCACCATTATCTAGAACAGTGTTCTCTAACTAACCCATGGTCTACAAAAGTCATGAAATTTGAAAAAGACAATGACTGTTGAAATTGTCTGATGAAGAACAAAAGTTGGCTTCTCCCTCCCACCCAACAAAGAATGGGGGTGTGCAGATGTTGTGGCAATGGTATTGCCAATGCTGTGGGAGTGCAATCTAAGAATCATGAGGATTGCAGCCAACACCTTGTGTTTGGGTCTTGGTGTAACACAAGTTCAATACATTGCCAATGCTAATGTCCCAACATTTGAAAAATGGCATTGATGGAATGACATTGAACATACCTTGTCATGGTATTAAAACATTCTTGAAAGTATGAGCGTAACATTATTAAGGCTATGTTAATTTGACTATCACAGTGTAATGTAGTGAAATGAAACATTGCAGTTCTCTTGGTTTCCGCTTTGAAGAATTGTTAAATACTGTTGAAAAACCTTTCAATACATTGCATAAAATTTTGTAACTGTCCTTCTATCTTTATCAGTGAACTTTTTTACACATCTTCAAAGTTTGAAAAAGATTTTTATATTGCTTTATTTTTTAGGTGTAAGAATTCTTCAAAGCTGAATCCAGCTGCAATAATAAAATTGGTTCTGGATTTCTTACCACAAATTGATATTGAAGATTTTCAGTTATGTTCAATATCAATTTGACAGCAGAAAAATTTTTAAGACAAAATATTTCTACAATTATTTCACCAATAAGGTATAAAAAGCTGAGACTTGTTGGTTCTTGTTACTGATTGAAATGTAGGCAAGATTTCTAATGTACATACTGAATTCATGAACTCCTATTTCACCTCAAAAATACTCCAGCTCCTGATTTTCTAAAATATAAATATTGTACCTCATTCTAGTACAAGTAGGATAACTATTTGCATTGGACTTAGCTTCTGAGTGCATAGCTAGAGATGAAGGTGATTGACTCTCACTCATATCAATCATATGGCCACAGTACAAATCCCTGGAGCATCATCCAGACAACAGATTCAAAGCAAGGGCACCTTTGGCAGCAAAAAATATTGTCAACAAAAGCATACAGATGGAGTAAAGAAAAAGCAGGAAAGTATACAGCAAAAAGAAGGCAAAATGGCAAATTGCAGCAATTGAATGGGAATTTTTTTTTTTTACTGCTGTCAGACATTGGGGCAACACCATTGGCATTGTTTTGGGAATGTCATCTTGGCCATGGCAATTCAGCAGCAGGCAATATAATGCATTGCTTTTACTACAGACATCACTGTAGGATGTTGGCAATGCAATCTCAGCATATTGGCCAATGTGTCCCTTCTAGTGCTGGGGCATTGGAGGGTGACCAACATGACTTTGCCCAAACCTTTCAGGGCCAATGCCATGACAATGCCTTGGCAATGTGATTTCCAATGCCCAAATGATTTTCTTGGTAATAACACATCAGACAAATTTTCAACAGCTCAAATCAATCATTTTCATTTTTCTTTCTGAGAAACCTTTCTTTGGATCAACATTTCTAATGTTTTGAGACATTCCACAATAGCTGCGTTGTTGCTTCTTGGCATGATTTTTGGAAAAATTCAGAAAATGTTTGAATAATTGTCAAAATTTTTCAAGCAAAACTTCTTTTAAGTCTGTAAAAAATGCATAAAACTTTACTGGTCTGCAGAACACTTTTGGGAAATTTGCCAGCCCTCAAAATCCTTGAACATTCTGGTTTAAACAACAAAAGATGCCTTTTTAAACTGGTTCATATTTCTACGTGAAATTCAGCTCAAATTCTTTCACTTGGTGCCCCTACCATTCAGATTAATATTAGCCAAGGACTGGCATGGAAATACTGCATCAAAAAACATTTGGCTTTCATTAAAGTTACAGCACTTATTCTGGGTGATTTCAGCAAAGTTCAAAAAGTTAGGGGCCAGTACCTGCATAAGAAAAGACTATCATAATAAAATGTTTGCATTGTGCAATTTTCCAGGCAGCAGCAAATGAGAAAAAAGACTTCAATAAAAAATACAGGCATCACAACATTGTTTTGCAACCCTCTGGACACTAGGAATTAAAATTCCAGAAATGGGCTTCAGTGTTTATCAAAAAATTTTCTTAGATGCAATAATAACTGAAGCAGTGCAAATCAGTCAACAAGGACAAGCTCTTCTAGTGCATAATCTCCAAAAAAATCGGACACCATCACTTGAAAAACTTCAATTATTCTTCCCTTTTTAATTAGTTCAAGGCAGGCTTCCATTAGAAACCTAAAAAGAAGCGTTTCACACACACCTTGTCAAAA